AGAGAGAGAGAGAGAGAGAGAGAGAGAGAGAGAGAGAGAGAGAGAGAGAGAGACTCATTGCGGTCTCTCTTTACGTTTTGTATTTGTGTTGTCGGGTTTTTGATGTTTGCTAGGTGCATCTCTCTTTCGGTCTATCTCTGCATAGACGAAAATGTACGTATAAAAACTTTTCATGCAAGACCGAATGCATGAATAAAAGCTCGGTAAAAACAGATTGGTATTCGGTGAAATAAAATGACAAAAACAATAATTACAACAACAACGATCGAGTAGCTGAATAAATATTCAAAACAAGATGTAACTAGAATGGCAAAACAAAGAAAATGAAGAGGAAACGAATTTATTACGTTCGGTAAAGAAGAGCGAATCTAAAGTGAAATACCATGGGGTGCAACGATGAAGAGACACACACTTACAAAAAGCACGTCAAAGATATAGCGTGACATTGGACCAAAATCCGCACAAATAAAAATGAGAGCCAAATGCATTCAAAATAAAATGAGAAAATGAGCAATTCTGTGAAAATACAATTGCATTGAAAATGTCGTCAAATGGATGCTAAAACGATATAGCCACGTGCAGAAAAAGCGGCGAAAATCAAATGAAGTCTTCTTTTAAAGAAGTAACGAAAATCCATTCAATCGACACATAGTTCGAGCAATATATTCGAATGGCTTATTATCTTAATGAAACATTACACCCGATGAATTATTCGATTTTTCACGTTTATAAAATGAGAACTATTTAAAGAGAACAGTTCCATTCTTGATACCAAAAGTTTTATCAAGAACGCGTATTGTTAGTTTGCAATTTTTGTTTATATTATAAACATTATCCAAAACATTATTTTGATCAGCATTCAATAGTGATGGTATGCATTCTGTAGCTACTTTATCAATATCAGGTGTGATATAATGCGGAATTGAGTGTAACAATGCCGAGCATTCCAGCATCTCAAATTCAATTCGTTGAAAATGCACATCGGGAAAATCCATGAACGAAAAAAAAACATCGAATTCCTTTATTATTCGACAAAATTTTCTACACATAGATATATCAGTGTATTATTAAGTCGGCATTAGCTATATTCATGGAGTTGATAACTAGTTGCCCCATAGCAATAGTCCACTTGTATACAAAAACTCGCTTTCTCCCCACCCTTCTCTTACTGACTGCCACCAATTTTTTTGTTGTTCCTCCTTCCTTTCGTGCACACACACATACTTCCGTTTGGATGGTATGCATCGAATCCTAATCTTGAATCCACTGGGTAGCGATAGTTCTTCGTTTATGTGTGACCATGATTTATAAATGTGCAGATATCGCTGTTAACCATTTATTCACACAGTCCCGAATACACACTGTGTGTGTGCACAAATTAAAAAGTTTGCAAACTTTTATCATGAATAATAGTTTGGCAGCAAGTGCATCAATAGAATGTAGAGTTGGAATTTACACCGAGGATTGTGTTAGTGTTAGTTATGTTGGTTGTTTTTTCTCCTCCCTTTTGGCCATTGCTAGTTCACCATTTCTTCTTTATATTGGCTTTGAATCTAATGTCAACCGGAATTCATAACTAGTAAAGTTTTTATTTTCTCTATTTTAATTTATTTGCAGGAAGCGGAAAGTGCAATAACAGCAATGAATGGACAATGGTTAGGCTCCAGATCAATTAGAACGAATTGGGCAACTAGAAAGCCACCAGCGACAAAGGCTGAACGTGAGTATACCATTGTTTGTTTGGTTCCCACTTTTTTTGATATTATTCTCTCATCACATTTATTATACTATGAAAGTTTTTGGTAAAATTCAACGCAAAACTATTTTTTTCCATCGTTTTTTTTTTTTTACTTTATTCCCCATTTTCTAGCCGTTGTGATAGCGATATGACGTGTCTTTTGTAGCAACCAACACAAGAGACACATTTATTCATTTTATTATTATAAATTTTAAGAATAGCAGTTAAATTTGCACAACATTCGCCACATATATTGATCGAGGCAAACAATAAACACTCGTTCACACTATGCCATGCAGTGAAAATTTATCTGCTATAATTTCCCTGTTGACCGGTAATTTCGACGTTCAACTCCTTCTTTTTTCTTTCGTATTGTATTTTCCGCTATAAATCAACGACCGAGACCATTCCATTCGATTCTGCCATTCTTTTGAACACCTTTGCTTGCTTTTCATCCACGTATATATATTTATATACAATTTGTTTTCAATTTCTTTCGGCAAAAGGTGTTGAAAAGTGCTTATTTGATCGTTGCTTCAATGTGAACGGCAAACAGTAATGCTATTGCATCGAGTGTCGGCAAGAATTAAATACATCAGAATCCACATCGTCAACAAAACAGTAGCCAAATATGGTATACATGGCTTCGTATATATGATCCGAATGTTTTGGATCGAAAATTGTATAAATATTGATTTCAAAGGAGCAAAACATGACAGAGCCGACAATTGGTGTAGGCAAATGGTACGAGTGAAAATAATGGTTTTCGTAATTCAATAGCGCTGATAAAATACTACCAGCATGATGAGGGAGTTAAAATATGGAATAAAATAAAAATAACATACGAAACAACAATGAAAATAGACAGATAGATCGTATTAATAAAAAATTCGTTCTATATGTATAAAGTATAATATACATGCCAAATGAATACCAACCAAATTTGATGTTGGGCCTTTTTTCGCTTTTATACTGGCAACAGAAATAGTTACGGTACACGTTTTCACCGTACGACTGAATGAAATTTATTTTACATTTATTATTTACGAAATGCACGTATCAGTTTCAGCCATTTTCATTTGCCAATATCTCTTTTACGGATGTCTTATCGTCTCTTCGTACGTATGTATATGTGACCGAACCTATTCCATTGATTTGCATCTCACCGATAATTTTAGCGTGAAACGAGATGAAATGTCTTGTTTACATCGCCAAATGTGGTGGAGTGTCTATAATATTGGGAAAAATCAACGTACGCATGGAACATTCCAACAAAGGTCAGATGGGAATTAAATTTAATGTATGCGAGTCGAGGCACCATTGTGGTGGATGAATGATTATTAATTTAACAGTATTATACTCTGATTTTTGAACATAAGTCACAGATGAGAATGTCTAAATTTTTGGATATTTCCGTAAAGAAACTGCTACGGAAGCAATTCTGAAACAACAGTCTTTCCATTTCACGTCCGTTGTCTGGAAAAAAAGAGCAGAATGAGTCATACATTTACCCTACAAGTAGTGAACATCTCGAGATCGAGTCTGAAATACCTAGAAAACTTGTGTCAGTGTTTTGTCGAAACGCACAGTGTAATTGGATATGTATCCCCCTCTAAATGGCATGTAATGCGTGTTTCCTTCATTAAACAAAACTCCGAATAGTGGATAATTTATTCATTGGTTTTAGTTGGTTCATTATTTATCATTTGAAAAGAATCGATAAAATGCAGTGCATTCGAGCGATCCTCGATCCTTATCCACGTGGATAATGTGCTGTACAAGTCATATTGTTTATTTTTTTTTTCTGTGCTTACAAAATAATTTCTAAATTCAGATGCATTTGCGGCACAAAGTGCTGTTATCGATTTAATGCTTTTTGCGTCCATCGTGAATTTATTCGTTGTTGTTTTTTTTTGTTTCTAGCCTCATACGGTTTCGTCCGATGTTACATGTTTTGTTGCTGTTATTGATGCTAGCACGTTGTTCTCGTCTCAATTTATGCTGGTTTCACCCCATGTCAATTTCGAGAAGTCGTTTAACGGTTGACCATTGTTTCGGTTCAGTTATTTCGTTGTTCTCTTGTGTGACCGTGTTCGTGCTGCGGTTCGAACGGTTGTGGCGGTGGTCATTGTAGATGTTGAATAGTTATATCTCATTCTACCCGCACACATCCTTTTATCTTCTCTCCTCTACCTTTTTTTTTGCCGATATCGATCAGCATACTTTAACTTTAACTTTCATTTTGTTCTCATTCATAATAAATGATAACTTGCAACAAAACGAACTTATATATGTAGAAATAGAAACAAACCGCTACTTCACAGACACACACCCACACATAGCATGGGGTGCACATCAATACGAAGATATATGCTATAAAAATAAAGAACAAATCGAAATGAAAAAGACGCAGCAGAGACGACGAAAAAAACCGTCCCGAAATGACAAATAAAGCGAATGAAATCGAATCGAAGCAAATCGAATACTTTTGTTTTCCACTCGAAGAAGAAGAAGAAAAAGAAGCTGAACAACAAAAAGCATATTGCTAAATGGCCATGAGACGATTTCCTTGGCAAACACAATACACGCGTGTGCAAATCTTTACGCCAATTTTTAACTATATTCCGAACACACTTGAAAAATTACAACAAATTGAGAGACGCGCGCGCGTGTGTGTATGTATGTGTGACAAAACGGACGATCGGAATGGACAACGGAATATTGCGAGTGTTTCAGAGGCGAGATGCCATCAAAAATTTAAATAATATATAGATTTCAGTCTGTCTTGTCTTATTCGAATTTCGTCCTCTTTTCCCTCAATGCTCATTTCGATATTCGCTATTTCGATGTCAATGCTTCGAATACATTGCCATCGTGCATGGCAAATGGACGAGGGTGGCGAAAAAAAAACTTTTATTGCTTGCGGTCACTGGTCATAAACACCGTACGTTACTATTTATTTATCTTTTAAAAACTATTTCGATGGATATATTCGTTTTTTTGTTTCTCCCTGCAGATGTGCTGATGCAGCAACAGCTACTAGCATCACTTTACAATTCTTCTTCTTCGTTTTTCAAAATTCTTGGTGCTTTCTCTTTTGCACATATTCACTTCTTTGTGGGTTTATTTTATATATATTTTTTTGCAATGTCATTTTCTCTCCATTTTATGACTTTGTTTATGCTTGAACTTAAACATCGTACCGTATACGAAAAGGGAAAAACCTCAAAATGAAATCGTATTTTGGATATCCATTTTTACAGTTGTTCGTCAAGGAAATAAATGGGGAAAGAGCACGTAACACGACGATTGATGGTGAAAGAAAAGAGACAAAGCGAATGAGAACGAAATTTTTCTACGAAGATCGAGTCGAGCAAAATTATTGTGAATATGACAAAAGGAAAAGTTTGGAATTTTTTTCTATCCACATTTGGTTAAATGGATACAATAAACTATAAAGTGTCATGACAAAGGTTATTTCACAATATTTTCATTTGGATTTTTCCATTTTCATTTTGTTTTGCATATGCGTTCGTCATGGATTTTGTTTTATTTCTTTTCACACTACGACTATTCCACGTGAATTGAATTGGAAATTGAGATCTAATCGAGAAGTTTTGCGAACAAAAAACTACGATGACGATGCAAAATGATTGAAAATGTCCACCAAAATGAATGCGAAAACGCTTCTTTTTCTACATAAATGACGTCAGAACAATTTTCAATTAAATGGCAAGGCGAACCGAGAAACATTACCATTCAACAAATCACTCATCTCCACCGAGCAGCAATGAAAACTTAGCGCACCAAAAATTACATAAAAATTCGTTATTTTTCTTGGTGAATGCATTTCATATGCTTGTATTCTGTAAGACGGTAGTTTTAAGTGGATTGAATTCAAGGCAGAAATGATTGGTGTATGGCGTCATCGTTGCGATCATTGCCATTGCTGTCATTAGAATAAGCCAAAAGACAACAACAAAAAAATGAGTTACAAAATTAGACAAATACGTTATTTCAAAAGTTCGGAATTTGCATATGTAATTCAAAAGTTGAAAATCTTTTGCCGAATTACACTCATGAAATGCGAAACAATGCGGCAATGGGAATGGGTGAGATATAAAGAGAAATGTGGCACTATAATTGGTTTAAACTCAACAATCGCGCAATGTACGTATAACACGCAGAAACAATTAAATGCACAAAGCTGCAGTATAATTTCGAAAGACACATTTCTATCCATAAGAAAAAAAGCGGCGAAAACACCGACAGAGAAACCGTTCCGAAATTGTAACGTGAAAAGAAGTCATTGTGAATTTCCTTTGAATTTCTCCATTCGTCTCACATTTGAGCATTTATTCATTGATTCATTCAACCAGTTTTGTTTGAGAGTTCGTTTGTCATATTCCTCGTTTTTTTTCAGTCGCGACAAATTCAATTGCAGCTTTGCTCTCTCACTCTTTCTCACTTTTGTATCGCTGGCTCTTGTTCGCTCGCTTTGTTTAAGCAGCTTGTTGTTCAGTTTCGAATGAACGTAATGTGTTAAGCTTAATGTCGGCTTCCCATTCAGTGTAGTTCTGTTTGTGTAGTTTATTGTAGTTTTCATTTTGTTTATAAACATCATCTGCGCGAACGTGTTTTTAATACAAAACTCATACAATCATTTTATACATATGTACATGCACTCTCGCTCTCTCTCTCTCTGACGTTTATCACGGAATCAAAACTTGTACAGGTGCCAGAATGAGACGCATGGCTACGAACTGCATTGAAGAAGCCATAGACAATGCACGTAATAAAAAAAAATGGGCTAAGACAAAAATATACCGACTAACTATTCATAGAATAAGCAAAAGGGCGTCAGTTGACGGGTGTTTGTTGTTTGGGTATATTTGCAATGTTTCAAGTTGAATCGCTTTGAATCTGGTGACGGAAAATACCAACTAAACGAAAAATAAAGCCAACACACTGTAGCCGAACGA